CAGACAGAAAAGTCCAGGGCTTGCTCCTTTCTGAGCAATGGAGTTCTCCTTTACCTAATGGTAGCAGCCACCCAAGACTCTCTCCACTGCCATTGAGAACTTGAAATCCTCTTCCTAAAAAGTGTCTTCCCTTGGACTTTGGGAACCTGCAAGCTTCCTCCTGTACCAGTTCCATAGCCTGAACCTCTATTATCTCAGCTTATTTCTACTCATGCTTCAAGTCTTCACTTAAACATCTCCTCATCATAGAAGCCTTCCATGATTCTCCAGGATTAATTAAATCCCCCTTACTTTAGACAACTTTACATCCTCTTCCATAACACTCATCACAGTTGTAATTACTTATTGAATATCTTTCTTTGCTAACTGTGATCTTCAGGAGGACAGAGAGTCGTTTCACTATTACAGCCCCAGGTGTGATACTTAACAGAGTATCTGGCACATCAAAAGTGCTTGATAACTATTCCCTGAATTGAACTGAATTGAAATTTTCTTAAGTTAACTTTCTAATCTCATTTTAGCAGATACATTTATAAACATAGGTAACATTAAAAGAAGAGGGTTGTTATGATGCTACAATGTCTAGAAGAATTCTCAAAAAGGACCCTTGAAGAACTCGAGAATATTTAACCTACAGAAGAAAAAAGCGTTTAAAACCTATCATATGGAATAGAGCCTAGAATTACTCCCTGTGACCAAACTAGATCACAGAGGAACAATTCGGCTCCATATAGGAAAAGACTCTCCAACAATTGAAGCTAGCAAAAAAAAAAAAAAAATAATAATAATAATAATAATAATAACCTTGCATCAAAGTGGAAGCAGTTCTCTGCCCCTGCTCTAGTTTAGACAGACATGATCCTGAGAAGGGATTTCCCCTCACTGGACAGGTAACTGGAGGATATGTGTCCAGAAGATATTTCCACACTCTCAGGTTTCCTTTGTAAGTGAAGGAAAAGTAAAAACAATATATCATCTCTCTTCCCCTTGAACCATCCTAAGTTTAAAAGGGAAAAGATGCATAAAACAGAGAAAAGGTAGACATAAACTCTTCAGAAAAGAATTGTGTTTAATACACACTGTTGTTATGATTTATTTTTCCCCCCAGGTGTATTGGACTTGTTCTAATGCTATTTTCATGTTTGATTTGTTTTTAGTTGAGGTTTGTTTTGTTGATTGGTTGGTTTATTTGTTTCTTGGTATCTACGAATGCTTTATCCATGCAAAGAACTTCTTGTACTTTGCCCTTTATTCTGAATTTTGTAGCCAAAGTTTGTGGTTCAACAAGGAGCAATTGCTCAACAAACATGAAAATGATGATTGCTTATTGTTGGTATTTAATGCAATTATTCAAAAATTTAATAAACACTTTTATGGAAGCTCAAAATTTCCAGTCAGAACACATCCCTTGAGACATGGCTGGTAGCAAGAAGTAGCTTGTTCAAGACAGTTTAGAGGGGGAAAATTATTTTTGAAAGAAAATCATGAAGCCATAATATTAGTTTAATTGATAATAAGGTTCTAGGGTTAAACACACTTTCTGCATTAGTAACCATTTTATTTCAGATACTTTCTGTCTGGCATTTCTTGACTCTCAATGCCAGGAAAAAACAGATGGCAAATATGGAGGCATTTGGAATTAAAATTACACAAGCAATTCTCTAAGAAGACAGACACAGTATTTAAGCTGAGATTTTTTTTCATTTTCCCCATTATTTTTAAAATCATTTAGTCTTTCTCTACTATTCAGCAATATAGCACATACACAAGTTTTCTTATAAAGAAAATCAAACTTTTTTTCTTTTGAGAAAATACGTGTTTTGGACAATTCAAATAAGCCCATTTAAAAATAAAATCACTAAATGATAAACTTAAATTTGACCTGAACAAATATTAGAGCATGTCAAATTAGAGCATAATGAAATTATTTTTATCCCTTTGTTACTCATTCTCCAGACTATAGAGAATTTTTATTGAGTTTCTCAACAGACTGCAGACATATACTAGACATTGGGAAGGACCTAGGAGAAGCAAATGAGAAGATACATACATAAGCACATCAGGGTGGAGTGTGGGAATGGGTTTACAACATGGTAGCAGCCTGGGCAGGAGGAAGCACACCTCTTACACAGCCAGATACTGCTCAGAGTGGTTCAGCATTAAGACCAAAGCCGGTAAACAAAAGTGAGAGTCTCATGAGAACCCACTGAGCCTCTAGAACCTCAAAGGTTGGCTGGATAGGGTAGTGTTGGGCACAGCCTCAAGCTACTCTATCTTGACATCAGAGAGATTTCTACTTCTGGAAAACTGGAGTTGGAGTACTTTTCCCTATTCCTTCTGCTAACTAGAGCATAAATAAACAAACAAACTGGGACATTATACATAAAATCAACATAAGAAGACTCTGAAAGATGGAGAGAACATAAGGTCTGGCTAGAGATTTTGAGACCTATGGAAAGACACAGGGGTAAGTTCTCTAGGTTTTTGGGTTTTGGGTTTTGGGTTTTGGGTTTTCTTTGCTTCAGGTATTCCAGACTGCTTTCTGGAAAAGCCAGTAATCCAGAAACACCAAGAGGCACCTTAAGAAACACCAATAGGCACCTTTAAAAAAATCTGAAGTAAAATAAACCTGCTCCCATTATCCAAAAGGAGCATCCCAATCAGAAAAAAAACTTTTCTAAAATAACCATCCTGCTCTAGCTAAATGCCACAGAGAAAACTGTTCCCAGCCCCCAACCTTATGCTCACCAGCAAAGGCCAAGTGGGGTACAAAGACTTTCACCCTTGCCAGGTGCTAATGAAGCACCCCAACCCTTCCACTAGCGTGATATCAGAGAAGACCCATACTGGGGCAGGGCTCTTCACTATGCCAGCTCCCATCCCCCACCCAACCCCATCCCTGCATTGTCAGTGGGGAGGTTGGATTTCCATCCCTGCCCCTCCCTCACCCCACTGGATTGTGTCAGGGGTGGCCTAGAAAAAAATCAGAACTTTCATCACTACCTAGTGGTAAGGACATCCTCATCCTTGTGGTGTTGGTAGAGGACATGTGAAGAGACGTAACAAGGCACTCCTGCCCCTCCAAGCTAGGGCAGTATCAGCAGAAACCTAGCAAAAAGCCTGACCTTCCACCCACACCCATACCCAGCAGTAATGAGGATCACCTCTTCTCTAGTTGCCAATGGGAAGCATGGATTTCCACCCCACCTGGCTGTCATTTGGCAGTACACCTACCAGTTCTGAGCCAGAAGAGGCCTAGAACAGAAGATTTAAATAAGATCCAGACATCTATGTTTTAATCAAAAATCATTCATCCTACCAAGAACCAGGAAAATCTCAACATGAATGAAGTGACATAATCAACAAACACCAACACCTAGATGACAGGGAGGTTAGAAATATCTGACAATGATGTTAAAACAGGAATCCAACGAACATGCTCCAACAAACAATTATAAACATGATTGAAATAAATGAAAAAAATAGAAAGTCTCAGCAAAGACATAGAAAATATAAAGAAGAATCAAATGGAAATTTGAGAATTGAAAAATACATTACAAGAACAAAAAATTAATGGATCGTCTCAACAGCAGAACGGAGAGGACAGAGTAAAGAATCAGTGAACCTGAAGAGAGAATAATAGAAATTTTCCATTCTGGAAACAGCAAATTGGGCTGGGGGTGGGGGGAGGGGAGGGGGAGACACATCAGGGACCTGTGGAACTATAACTGAATATCTAACTTGTGTGTCACTGGAGTCCCAGAAAGAAGGAGAAAGAGAATGGTGCTAGAAGAGTACTCAGAAAAAGAATCTAAAGATCAGAATAACACCACTAAGCACCATCAGTTCTCTGCTTTACCCATCTCACCCATCCTTAGAAACGAGAGTCTGGCTTGCTGAATTTTGGGAAAAAAATATTGGCTCCACAATGCAGCCCAGAGGGCAGTCAATGCAGCATCCCAAGCCCAATTCAAAGATATGATTTTTGGCAGAAGTTGTGTAAATAAAAAACTCCTTTTCTGACTCTAATAATTTCCCAGTTCACTCTTAGTTGTGGTCCCTTCCCATGAAGTGAAACTGAGACAGCCTCCAGAGACATAGTGTAGGGTTGTCAACGGGACCACAGCCCAAATTAGGCAGTTGGAGCTGTATTTGGCCATGAGAAGGGGCAGATAGGGTGAATCTGACCCTTGGATTTTCTATTCTGGGGCAGGGTAACAAAGTCTACTCCTATCCTCCTTCCTTTAACAAAAGCCCCTGGCTGGGGAGCTATGAGTAATGCTTCTACCTTGAAACCACCTAAGAATTTGATCTTTAAACAGTTAAAGAAAAGCTGTGATTTTCAAAGTTTCTAACAATTTCTTGGATTGCTAAATATGCATTGCAAACTGGCATTTGGTTTGAGACGACAGACTGGGATTTCAAAAGGCAAAGTCTGGGGCAGAGTCTGGAATGAGGAGGTTAGAAAAAAAGAAGCTAAATTCTTCCATTGAACAAATTATCAGTAAATTGCACATGCAGTGATAATGTCCGTTTTGAAAAGGTTTTCTTTGAAATGGGTGGAAGATGAATTTGGGGACGAGGAGTAAAGGGGGGGGAAGACCCTAAAGTGAAAGAGTAAACCCACAAAAATGACAGCAGGTCAGAGACCCAGAAAGAAGTATAATAAGGTAAGAGTCCTCCAGAGCAGAAATGACTGATGCAACTTGAGAAAAGGTTATTCACTTATTCGAACTTAAGTTGTTTACTGAAGTGTGCTGTAATTCCTTGCCACTTTCACCAAGCCTTCATGTAAAGTTCTCTGTAGCAGGTCTGGGCTGGTGATACAAAGGAAAAACAGAGGACAGGTGACTGTCTGTGGCTTTGAATGAACTGGTGTGGGCAGGAGACAGGTACAGCAGGATGGCAGATCCAGAGTGAATGAGAGGGAGACAGGAAGAGCAAATGGGAGAATACATGAGAAGAGAGTGTCTCGTACCCGCTGTTCTCCACTCCCCTATCCCGGGGAAATAAGAGACAAGGTATTAGACCGACTGCATCATTTAGTGCATTTGTGCAGACGGGGCTCAGTTGTTGAGTTCGCATTTGAAAGGCCAGAGTTTTAACTTCAGAAGGCTAAAGATCTTGGGAACACTTAGCTCACACATTTTTCTTCTTGAGGATTCTTCACATCTTGCAACTGATCTGCCATTGATCATTATAAAGGTTTCCAAGTGGAGCTGGGTGAGCTTATCCCTTAGGCTATTACATGGGTTTGTGCATGTTTCCCATCCAGGGTTCCCTGTCAACAAATAAGACAAATATTAAAATGACATAAATCTTACATAGCAAATAGAGGACAGATATTCTAAAACAAAAAGTATCAGTCAAGTTGTCCTTGGCTAGACCTAATTATAAATAAGGAACTGTGTGTCAGCTGGTAGAGAAATCATGTTGGGTGTTATGTAGAAACCTGGAGTGGAAAAGCACTGGCCACTTAGTGCTTAGTTACCTCCACCACTTACCTACGCAGGTGTCTTGGTTTGAGTCTCCCTGATTGCAGAGCCTAAGATGGGGACTTGAACCTGGGTGCAGGTGGTTTATTTGGGATGAGATACCAGGAAGTAGAAATGAGGGCGAGGGAGAGTGAGAAGAGAAAGAGAGAAGGAAATACAGAGCTGCATTTTCATAGAGGATTTGATTCTGCCAGGCCCTCTGAAAAGAAAACCAGTACCTCTCTGAATCATCCCTTCCAAGGAAACGGAGGAGGAAGCATTTCTCCAACAGCTTCCCATCACCTTTAGTTAAGGACTGCTCCCAGTTAAGGACTGATCCCAGAAATCCCTGCCACTCCCAATCGATACTTCTTTGAGCCAATTCCCATGAAAATAAGACAGCTGCCAGCAGGTGAACTCCCAGGGTGTGTCCCTCAAAGCTGTGGCTGAAATCAGAGGTGGGTTAAGAGCAAGAGATGCAGAGTACAAAGAGCCTCGGCCACAACCCAGTGCCCAAAGCAGCCACCCAACTTCATGACATACCTTTTCCAGCTCCCACAACAAACTTGTGAGTGGCAGGCAGCCCAAGAGTAGAATTCAGTTTCCTGACCCCCTCCCAAAAGTAAAGCTTTTCTTCTCTTTATCATGCCTCCTCCAAAAAATTCAACCTTCAGCAAATCAATTAACCTACGTGTTCAATTAAATTGTTACCAGTTGAAAGATAAATAGTATCTGTCACTGCCCTCATGAGGCATATGATTCACTAATAGAAACAAACACATGAAGAGATAATTTCTAATAACATGGGGAAGTCAACTAAGGAACTATAAACAAGGACAGAGAAGGCTGGAAGAGAGCAGTGATGGGGCCCTGAGCCCAGTAGGAGTGGGGCTGTGGTCAGTGATGTACCCCTGAAGGGGGCATTCTAGGTGCATGGAATGGCTGGGAAACACACACACACACACCAGCAGGCTGTGTACTTCTCTTTTCCTTATTTGTTCCTTCCAACTTTTATATCTGATGACAGTGCATTACGCTTTTCCTTCATAACAACGTTTTTTATGTATAAGAACTTTTTTATGTTCATCCTATGAAGACAAGCTACTTATGGTTTTGTTTGTTTATTTAGGTGTGTGGGATTTGGGGGGGGGGGTTGTTTGTTTGTTTTATTTCTCTACCCTCGGTACTAACCTATTGAGACTCTCAATATTTGGTGAATGATTTAAGGAATGAGTGAATGAGTGATATTTATAATCTCCTTGAATTCTATAACCTACAAGACAATTTGGAGCATTCTATAGTAGACAAGTCACAGGTTCATCAATTAAGGGAAAACAAAAAATCCAGGAGGTGTAATACTGCATCTCTAAGACATTTGATTATTTTATCTTCCCTGAAACAGTAGATAATGTTCCAGGAAAAGTTGTTCATTTCCATAATCTAGACAGTATAAGGGTTTTTTTTTTATTTTAAGTGAAATCTTTTATTGAAGTATAGTATGCATACAGAAAAGTGCACACACCAAAAGTGTAAAGCTTGATACATTTTTATGAACTGAACCCCTCACGTAATTGTGATCCAGGTCAGAATCTAAAACATTACAAGTATTCTGGAAGTGCCTAGAAAGTATAAGTTTTAAATAGTTTATTGGAATTATTTGGATGTTCATGGATATTAAGGCTTTATTCATCACAAACATCACCTCTATATAGAAATAGAGGGAAATACAGGAGCCTAGTTGCTCCTTTATAAGTTAACATCCTTTTCTTTAATATGTGTCTGGGGTTCCTAGAGCCCGCAAGCATTTTATGGGGTTGGTGATGGGTATGTCCATCTAATCAGCACTCTAAGTGCACTGCTTGTGGTGTTGGCTGTTAATTGAACCTGACCTTGGTAAGTACATTGACCCCACAGTAGCTTGTCTGCATTCTCAATTCCGCAAGTCATGTGTAGTAAGGCTGGATATTTTGTTTTCACTTTTAATTTTGCATTCTTTGTAAAGTTTAATTTTTATGTGTGGATTACTATTTAATTTGAATACCAACTAATATGTGATATACTTATCCAAAGGAATAATCTTTGGACAACTTCTTCAATCATTTTTGTAGAACTGGTGATGGATTGGTTCAGGTACATCTGTACTTAAGAGGCGTAGGCTTAGTTATGACTTAAAGCAGAAAGTTACAAAATAGTAGATAAGTTTAGGAAAGCAGTCTATTTTCAGGGAGCAAATTCAAGCTAGCCAATCCATCCAGAATAGTCCATTTGAAAATTTCATTCTTTCAACAAACACTATTATGGGCCAAACATTGTGCTACATATTAATCCCAAACATCAAGGGACTTACAAGTAAACTTTCCATTTATATTAAATTACACTGGAAAATATTGCAAAGCGTCAAAACTCATGCTAGGCACAGGAGTATGCTGGGATCAATTAGCAATCAGTATGAAAAAAATTTTAATTCAAGAGTTAAACTAGAAAGGACGAAAAGTGATGCCTGAGTTTATTAACATGTTACATACCTATGGGCATCAAAAATGAGGTCAGTTTCATGCCCTGATAGCTAACACTTTAAAAATCAGAAAAAGAATTATTCTGGGAAATTGGTTTTCCTATATGAAAACATAAGTATTAATGGATATTTCAATATGAAGAGAATAGTTTCACATTTTAAATGTATCTATATTGATACTGTCCCTTTAACCAGTCTGTTTTTCATTATTTGATGGCAAAATGTTTGAATAGATTTAATTTAGATCACTTTAAAACCTTTGAGAGGATGATTCTGATCTAATTCATTGACCTAATATTATTAGAAATAATTATCTTAATTTTGCCAAATCCTTTTTAGCCAACAGAGTGATCATCTTGACACTTAGTTGAAGGGAAACACAAAAATCAAATCTAAATAATAAATTGAGTTAAAAGTTTGTGACCAGAAATTATTCATGTATCATAGGAAATAAAAACATAGCTATAGAATTTTTTAAATTACTATGACAAATATTCTATATCCCACCAAACACCTCTATTTTCTCTTCTCTCTCTCTCTCTCTGTCTCATTCACTTTTATACACCCACACACCCACTATACACAATCTTGTTGAGTCTTTTAGTCAGTGGCCCATGAAACACTTGTTCTTTGTCACTTTCCTTTTTCACTGTTTAGAAAAGGAATATGATAGTCTCTGTTTCTACGTTAAGATAGTCAGTGGAAATTTGAAGTAAATTTCTAGATAGCTGTCCATAGTATACACTTTTTTTAAGTAGTAAGAAAATTGAAGAGTGTGTTGATTTTATATTCTTAAGTACCCAAATTTTACCTTCATTATACTTATACAAACATACACGAGTAAAAAGCAACGTTTGTAGTCTTTCTCCTCAGTTATATTGAACACACATTTTATTGTGAAGGCACTAGAGAGAAAAGGGAATATTTTTCCAAAATCAAGTTCACTTTTCCAGAGAACTGTTTCATATTTATTCCAAAGGTAATAAGAGTTCCTCACATCCAAATGACATACAGGAAGAAGAAAAAAAAAAAAACATAATTTCCAGGAAGAACTAAAACTTTTTTGAAAACTTTTCTGGGTTCTCCCATTTCTACTTGGAAACTCACTGAAGTGACAAGACTTCAAATAAGGAAATTCCCCTCTGATTGTAACTTGCACTGGGTCGGAGAAGCCTAGAGAAGTAGGTATGGCTTGGGGACACATCCTAGGAGGTTACCAGTTGTATAGCAATCCGTCTCCTCCCTCTGTAGAAAATATCCTTCAGACCTGACAAGTCCCTAGGGAAATAACTTGGACTTCATATAAAATGCCATGGAAATTCTCTTCTCTTCTGCCCTTCCTATCTTAACTTCATAGAATCAATCTATTCCCAACCAAGTCATTTTCCTCTATATTTTAATAAACCTAACTATAAAAGGAGAAACCATCCTATTGTTTATTTTTATGCTTATTTATAAACCTCTAAAGTTCTTACATTTTTTATAAATAAAAGGAATAGATCTTTGAAGGTACACAGAGTGTAACAACAAAAGGAAGGAAAGAGAGAGAAAGAAGACAGGATACAGAGAAAAGTACAACTGGAATAAAAATCTCTTCTTGAAAAGAATGGACCCACCTATACACCCGTTCCTTCTGTGGTCGTTTAAAGATTACCCCATGAATTGAAAGGGACTAACACAGGCGATTCATGAGAGTAGGGAAAACTATTAAAACACGGTTGTGCCTACTTTCTTTTGAGCCTCCCATCTTCTAAATCTCAGCTACCACCTATACATATATCACAAAACTGTTAAGCACAGTCTTGGCAGCAGACCCCCCCACCCCCCTCCAAATAACACAAGTGGAACTCACATTGGTCATATCCTCCTTCTCCAGCGGAGCCAAAGTTATTCAAAATAAGTTGCAGACTCTCCCAAGATCTGCCTTTTAGTCCTGAATTCCCTGCTGTCTCCAGTAGCATAAAAGCAACAAAGGAAATAGGATGATGGGTTCAAAAGCCAGAAGCACATTTTCCCAGTACTGCGAATTCCATGGATCCCACAATCTCCAAAATGTTAACCCACATCTTATGATTCCTGCAAATGGCTCCCATCTTGGAATAAGGCCTGGGTGAGGATGAAAGAGAAGAATTTAGCAACTAACATCATCACACACTCTACCGGTAGCACCAATCACTAGCACTCTAGCCCATATTTGGTATTTAATTTAGTACACATCTGTTTGATAGACTAAAGAAGCGAATAAATGAAAGCGCAATAGCAATGCATCAAATAAAGCTGGTACCTGGGGCCAGAAATATGCCATGTTGGAGACATATTTCTTTTGGATAGACTCACATAAAATACTGGTGTTGTCCAACTGTCTCAGTTGTTAACTTACCCACTTTTGGCCTTCATCTCTTAGCTGGCAAAATCCCTAACAAGACCTTATTAGTTGGGTTTTTTTTGTTTTATTTTTCCCTTTTTCTGTCTTCAAATTTTTCTCATTGTTAAGCAACTTATTATATTTTCTGATCAAAATTCCCCCTTGGAATTGTGATAGAGAAAATCGAGGTGCAAAAATAAAAGTCACTTGAGAGATCCTGCAGTGACTCAGCTGTTAACAAGAATTCAAATTGAGCTTTCAATATTCCAACATATAGCCCCAAATAGTATCATAATTATTGTTTGACCACCAACAAGAGGCCTTCCAAATGACCTTGTCCAGAATAGAATCTTAGTCATTTTTCAACCAGACAATACACAAGCAAGTCTATGTACTTTCTGACACTGGCAACTGTATACTAGCTTAGAAATAAGGGAAATAATCCTTTTGTTCAAAGCAATGAAAAATGTTTCCTTTTTGTGTGGATTTGTATCAGGGAGGTTATTTAGTTTGTTTGTTTGCTTGTTTGTTTGTTTGTTTACTAAATCTACAGTTTATTTGAGATTTAGTTTGGATCTTTTCAAATCAAAAACATGAAAGTTTAGGAAAGCTTTGCTCAATACCAAACAAAACAAAATATTTTCTCAACATAAAACTTACCACCCATGGATTTTTTTTCTTGTTAGCTACACAAACCAGATTGTTGTGGATTTTAATTAAAGTAAATTATATTGAGAATTAATTGCAGTCTCCAAATTGCAAGTCAGAAAATGTTTGCTAAATATTCCATTCTAATTTCCAGAAAAAAAAATTCCTATTCGTTTCTTAACCAGGGTTATGAAGAAACATATGACATTAAGTTCCAGTGCCAAATAATTTTTGAAAAGAGGAAACACATTTGTTTAGTATGTTTGTTTCATACGACCCTCAATATTTAATACACTTAAATTTCATATTCTAATTACGCCTCTTAATATTATTAAATAAACTTAGCTTGACAATAAACACAAATTCCTAAATAAGTATTACACCACTCTAGGATGTAAAACTATTTCTACTCTGATGTTCACCTATGTTTTGTGTTTGATCCACAACACTGATATTTGTAAAAAGTAGACACAGTAATTAATTATCAAGTACTTAAGTTTGACATAAGAAAAATCAGTCTGAGTACTATTCTCAAAGTACATAGAAGCCACATATAATAGTGGTTTTCAAACAGTTTAAGGCAGATACTAAACTGAATGGTACAGCCTCAAAGAAATACAGAAAAGGAAGAAATCTTATTGGCTAGAAAATAGTAAAGCCCAAAAAAAGCGTGACAATTGCACTTAACTTGCGAAGGACAGGAAGATAGCAGGGTTTCTAGGTGTTTTGAAATATGGAGGTGGGATACACGTTAAAAACTCAGAGCACAAAGGTAGACTTGATATTTTTCATTATCAAGGTTACGGTATAAACTCTCAGTAGATGAAATTCTGTGGAGAAATTAGTGTATAAAAGAGAAGAGAAAGCGAAAGACTAATTCTTGAGAAACTCCAATGACTGGGATGTGGGAGGGAAAAGAAGACAAAAGTGAGGATGTTATGGTGCCACAAAAAGGATGGGTAAGAAGTTTTCAAGGAAGGGGTTCTAAACAGAATCACATGCAGCTGAATAGCCCAAGAGGGTGAGGGTTTTTAAAAGGCCATTGATTTTTACTGGAAAGAGGTCACTAATGACCTTCCCACAAGCAGATTCAGGAGGCTAAAATTCCCTTCCAAAGTTTACAAACAAAACAGATAATAGAAAAATGAGCGTGAGCATAGACTATTTATTGAAGAGTTGGTCATGAAAAGGAAGAAAATAAATTCAAAGTTTATTAAATAGGTATCAGGATCCAAAGGAAAAAAAAAAGTTGAATTGTTTAAAGTAGTTGACCTCTAGGCATAACTAAGGTCAAGATAAAATTCTTTAAAAGAAGGAAGGGAGGGAGGGAAAGAAGGAAGGAGGAAGGGAAGGAGGAAGGAAGGAAGGAAGGTTGGTTGAGAACCCTAAGGAGGGTGGGGTGTGGTGAGGTGTGGGAGCAATGCCTGAAAAGCCTCAATCAGGGATGGGTCCCAAAGCAGAGAAGAAAAGTTAACTAGAATAGAAATAATAGTAGTTAACATTTATTGAGCAGTGTTATGTGCAAAGAACTGCTCTAAATGCTTAACGTACATTACCTTTTTAACTACTTAAAAAACAAATCTTGGGGCACCTGGGTGGCTCAGTCGGTTAAGCGTCTGCCTTTGGCTCAGGTCATGATCCCAGGGTCCTAGGATCGAGTCCACATCAGGCTCCCTGCTCAGCAGGGATGTCTGCTTCTCCCTCTTCCTTTCCCTCTGCCCCTGCTCATGCACTCTCTCTCGCTCACTTTCTCTCTCAAATAAATTAATAAAATCTTAAAGAAAAAAACTTACAAGGTGGATATTACCATTCTCACTTCACCTATGAGGAAATTGGAACTAAAATAAAGTAATTTGCCTAAGATCATCCAGAATATATGAGGCAATGTCCAAACACACACTTATCAGACTTAAAGCTCAACTGTTAAAAGCTTTTATTTCTGAATCATTGCAGAGTGTCACAAGGTATAAGAGCACAGTCTCACCGTGATTGGTAGAAGTTATATTCCTAAAACTAATTTACACATTCACATAATATGGACCCCCACAACTTCTGATATTCAAAATACAGTTTCTTCATACAGTGTTTGCTGCATAGATTATCCTTAGAGGCTCTGAAGGTAGAAAAGGATAAACCCTTATTCCTACAACAGTCTCCTTCCAAGGAGCAATCCCTTGATGTCCATGGGTGGGGTGCACAAATAGATGGAGTATATAAATTTGATTCCAGTAATTTTACTTCAAAGAGCCAAAAGAAATCCTTTTCTACCATGCTACCTCTTTGTGGATATTGCACTGGTGTGCAAACCCCAAGCTAATACCTCTCTCCCTAGCCACCTCTAATCACACTAAACCCTACCCCAGTGAAAAGACTGAGGAACAAGAGTTTTTATTAAAGTGAACAGAAACGTTATTTCAATCATACCTCTGTTGCTAAATTCGAATGATGCTTTTCAATCTTTTCTCACTTCTCCATGGAATTTGAAGCTGTTCCCCAAATACCCCTTTTGGAGTTCTTATCTCCTTTTGTTTTATTGACTGTAGTTAGCCCTGAATTACTTTCAACCTACCTGGGTCTTCTTGCTTTTTACTTTTCACAGGCTCCTCTTCCTCTACTACATCATTTAAATGTTGGGGCTTCTTCTACTACACATCCTCTTTCTTCTCTTTCTTCATACTATCCTTAAAAAAACTCATCCTCTCCAATGACTTGAATTACCACCTTTATTGCCGGTAAGTTCCAAAGCGTATGTTCAGCTTGGGCCTCTCTTCAGAGTTCCAGATCCATTTCTACACCTCTAAGCCTCCCCATCTGGGTGTCCTGTAAAGGTGCTCCAACATTTTCCCAATAACCTGTTCTTCTTATGTAGCCACCCCTCTGATGAAACAGTCAGTCGAGACAGAAAACTAGCAATCATCTTTGCAGGTGTTTTTCTTTATTCATCTCCTTTTCACATTCCATCCAATCACCAAATTCAGTAAATTCAATTCACAAACATCCCTCAAATCTCCTCTTTCTCATCTGTATTATCACTTTCATATGTAGGGCCTCATCTTTTCTTGCATAAATTATTTCTTAACAAAATCTGCTTTCCCTGTCTCCAGTCTTGGTCACTTCAAACCTAATCTCCACACAATCTCCAAAGTGATATTTTTAAAAATCAAATCTGAGCATGTTACTCTTATTCATGAAATCCTCAAAGTCTTCCTATTGATATACAGGTAAATTCCAATCCTTTAAGGGTGTTATACAACGGTCTTATACAAGATCCCTTACCCACCTCTCCACTCCCATCCAAGGCCACTCCTCAATTTCTACTCTGGATCCCAACTCAACAAAAGCAGTGTGGCATTTTCAGTATGTGCACATACACTTCCCAATGCCTGAAATATGGTTTTCTTCCATCAGTGTTGACTGACTCTTACTCATCCAGAATGATCACCTTCTCCAGGATGCCATATCTCATCCCATCAGTCAAGTTTAGGTGCCTGCCATCATGTTTTTATAATGTCAACACTTTCCTCCACAATAACCTGCTTGAATAATTAAGCAGTATACTGGTCTACCAGTATAACTAGAATCTTAGTACCTTGAATGAATTTTTTTTAAAAAAAGGTATCTGGCAGCAGTAGCCTACATTAGTTAATAGCACCAGATCTACAATGAAATAAATTTGGATTTGAATCCCGAAACTTCAACTTATTTAAAAATTGTGTGTGTGTGTGTGTGTGTGTGTGTAGGTGTAGGTGGCAGACCTATTTAAATTCCGTCTTCTGTATTTATACAATATATTCAATATACAATATATTTTCTTTTTAGGATTTTTTTAGGATTAAAATGAAAGAGTTCATAGTGAGGCTTTGACACAGTACCTGAAATCTGACAAAATGGCATCGTTTTACCAATTTTATCAAACTGGTAACTGATACATAGTAGATATTTAAAGGGTATAGACATTTGCTACTAGTGCCCCATTGTTGATAGCTGCGCTTAATGAAGTCTTGAAGCAATGGTGAGCAGACAGAGAACGAGTGGAGCTTTCGGAATCTTAATACATTTTATTGATCCTAGAATGAATTATTGCAAGCATTCATTATGGGCTATGCAAAATCTCAAACTTAGCTTTAAGGAATATACTTTCATGAAGGTTTGGGCTTTTATCCCATAATAGTTTCCTCCTAGCCCAGTCAGTCCCTCTCTAATCACCATTAAAAATCTATATTCCATTGTATGCAACATGCTGTTTGTCAGGAATAAGAAACATTCCTCAAATGTAAGCTTTACTCCCAATTCAGAGATACTGTCCTTGGAGCTCTGAACAAGAGATATCAATCTTCTTACAGGCTCTTCCCCACACTCATCATTTACCCTTGGGAAAGTTCCAAAAATGGTTCTATACCCCCACTGACATCTGGTACCAGGGATAACAAAAAAAAATGATATCTGCTCTAAATAAAAGAACAAGATTACAAAAGGAAATGTAGATCAACCTCAGATCTCCTTATGCATAGATAAGGAAAAACAAGATATTGGAGAGATATGAAAGAATAGAAAGAAGAAGGAAGGAAGGAAGGAAGGAAGGAAGGAAGGAAGGAAGGAAGGAAGGAAGGAAAGAAAAGGAAGGAAGGAAGAAGGGAAGGAGGGAAGAAAGGAAAAAGAGAGAGAGAAAGAAGGAAAAAAAGAAAGGCGATTCTTCTGATTTCAGATCTTTACCCTTTAAGTTCACCTCAATCTTTGTTTGAATGAACCCCTCTGAAGGCCAATAAAAAGTGTATGAAGTAAATAAAAGAAATGCATTTGCAACATTTTCTCTATCCCTTAGCAAAAAAAAAAAAAAAAAATTACTAAAAACACTTGTTCATACAGCTACAATGATGAAACCTTTTCATAGGAATGAGATTTAAGGTCTAGGCCAATTGATTTCATAGCTGTACAACTAAATTTTAAAGTGTGACCAGAGGTGATCTCTTTGACCATAATCGTAGGAGCTCAGATTAATCCTTTCTGAAGGAAAAAGGGGAAATGCAGCTGAATGACTTTAAAAGTTTCTGGATTGCAAATGAATGTTTGCTTGTGCATTTATGCTGATTGTCTTATGATAAAACCCATTTAATAACATGCATTTCATACTTCATTAAGGCAACATCTTTTTCTGCTTGGTTTTTCACAATCTAATTGGCCAACATGAAATAAATTTCCATTCTGAAAGCCAAGTTTCACAAGAGAAAGAAAGAATAGCTGCTCCTCATACTTGTCTTTATAGTTTACAAAGGAAAACAAAAGAAAAGGACTCATACATCATCCCATTTAATTCTTGTCTTGGTCAGGGATTGTCTGACAGTGAGGAAAAGTTTTCCTTAATGAGGGCAAATAAGAGTTTTATTAGAAAGCTACAAAAAGGAAAATTTCATGGATATTCATAGGTGAGAAATAAAGTATAGCAGGGCCTCTTAGAGACAGACTAGGAACTGGAAATTCAGAAAATGTGGTCATCTCTCTTGGTCAACATGATTTCTAGGCTCATCTCTAACAGACTATCTCCTGGTCCCTGGTCTAATCCATTGTGCCCATTGTTTCCACTCAACATGAATAATTGCCATGAGTCACATCAAAGTTTGTAGGAAGATACTGCTCCAAGCCATTTTCTCTCAAAGAGAGTTAGAATTATGGTAGATTCTTGGATCTCCATGAGCTCCTCTATTCTTTTGGTAAGTCTTGATGTCGGGTTAAATTTGGAGAATAAAGGAGAGAGGGATGAGGGGTAATTCATAAGTTTCTGGCTTGTAAGATACAAGTTGGGAACACTGAAAAGGAACAAGGGATATGGGATGAGGAGCAGGTGAATGCATTTTAGGACATGTTGAATATGAGATGTCTCTGAGACATACAGTGGAGGTAACCAAGTAGGCATTTGAGTATTCAGATCGGAAGTTCAGTGGAAAAGTCGGGGTTATAGATGCAAACTTGTGAGTCATGTGCTGTATCTGTGGTAAGTACGGTCTTACATGAGTGTGTATCGGATGTTCTGTGGGGAAGCATAGAATGAGGAGAGAGAGGACAGAGCTTGTCCAGAAAAGGACTGACTGTGCCAAGGAGTCAAAGGTGAAGCACCCAGGGAGGTGGGAGAAAACCAGGAGACAATCATGCTAAAAATCCAGTGTTCTGGAAAAAAGGCTGTGGTCAGCCCAGCTGAGTGCTGCTGAGATCAGGTACAATGAGGACCGAAAGCCACCTTGCCGAGTGTATGCCAGTTATTCACTGAATGATGTAGAAAGTCAGTGCAAGTTGGCCAAACTCTAGGCCACAGAATAGACTAATTTGACCCTTCAGCTGATTTCCCTGTGGTAAAACAGTAAATGAAGCCCAAAGAAGAGGGTTTGATGTTCCCCTCATTGGAAAGTCATCCCTTTTCCATAAGCCCTTCGGGGTCCGTCCAGCCCTCTTCTGTCCTGATTCTGCTCAAGCATGACCTTTTATAACTAATATTTGAGGAGATTCCCTGTCCCAGGTACTGTTGTAATGCTAAAATGTATAAATTCATTTAACCCTCACAATGACCCCTTGCACAGGGCTTAATTACTGCCCTCCCTTTACAGATGAAGAAAACAAAGCACAGAGAGGGGAAATATCTTGCACTGGGCCACCCACCTAGTGAGTTGGCAGAGCAGAGATTCAAACCCAGGCATTTGGGTTCCAGAATTAGTGCTTTAATCACCTCACCACCTCTGCAAAGCCCTCCTTAACAGCCCCAAGTGGCTGTCAATGTATTTCTTCCATGCTCCCATGGCACCCTGTACATGTGTCCTTCATGAAACTTGTTATCTATTTTCATAGATGTCTCAAGCAGTACTGTCCAACAGAAATGTAATGTGAGTGACAAACGTGAGCCACATACACAATTTGAAATTTTCTAGTAGTCACATTTTAAAAGGAAAAGGGAACAGTTAGAAATGATTTTAATAGTATATTTTATTGAGCCCAAGTGTGATGGTTAATTTTATGTGTCATTGTGGCTAGGCTATGGTGCCCAATTGTTCTGTCATGCACCAACTCAGACGTTGCTGTGAAAAAATTTTTTAGACATGATTAACTGATAAGAACAGATACTGCACTTGATCTTAGCCAAAAGGCCAACATGATTAACATTTAAATCAGTAGATTTAAGGGGCGCCTGGGTGGCTCAGTCTGTTAAGCGGCCCCTCTTGTTTTGGGCTCAGGTCATGATCTCGGGGTCCTGGGATCAAGCCCTGCATCCAGCTCCAGACTCAGCACTGAATCTGCTTGAGGATTCTTTCTCTCTCTCCCTCTCCCTCTGCCCCTCCTCCTGCTCACATGCCCTGTCTCTCTCTCTCTCTCTCTCTCTCTCTCTCTCTCTCTCTCTCTCTCTCTCAAATAAATAAATCTTTGAAAAAAAATCAGATTTAAGTAAGCAGATTACCCGCCATTTTGTGGGTGGGCCTTATCCAATCAGTTTAAGGCCTTAAGAGAAAAGACCGAGGTTTCCCAAAGAACTCATCCTAGAGCTGTCATAATAAAATATCAGAGACTGGGTGGCTTAAACAATAGAAATTTAGTTCTCACAGTTCTGGAGGCTGGAAGTCCAAGGTCAAGTTTTGGCAGTTTGGTTTCTCCTGGGGTCTCCCTGGCTTGCTGAGGGCCACCTTCCTGCTGTGTCTTCCCATGGCTGTTTCTCTGTGCTCATGCATCACCGATGTCTCTTATTTTTCTCATAAGGACACCAGTCACAGTAGGGGCCCACCCTTTTGACTCCATTTAACTTTAATTACCTCTTAAAGGCTTTATCTTCAAATATGTTCACAATAGGGATTAGGGCTTCAACATATGAATTGGTGGCAGGGGTTGGGGTGGGGCAACAATTCTATCCCTTACACCACCTGGGTTTCCAACCTCCCTGGTCTATCCTGCAGACTCAAGAATGCAATACCAACTCTTACCTGAATTTCAGCCTACCAGCCTGCTCTGCAGATTTCAGACCTGCCAGCCCCTACAAGTGTTTAAGCCAATTGCTTAAATACCCACCTCTCCCTCTCCTGTCTCTCTGTCTTTGTTGATAGACAGGCAGAGAAATAATATGGGTCCTGTTCCTCTGGAAAACTGACTAATAAATCATTATATCCAAAATATTATCATTTCTACATGTAATCAATATAAAAACTATTAATGAGATATTTTACATTCTTTTTCACACTAAGTCTTTGAAATCCGGCTTGTATTTTATACTTGGAGTTCTTCTCAATTTGGGTTAGCCACATTTCAAGTGTTCAATAGCCACATGTGGCTATCATAACACACAGCATAGATCTAGAACAAAGCAACAAAGTGAAGAAAAAAAGAGGTGGGATTGAACTCTACCCTGTCACTGAGGCTCAGTGAATGCTAGTTATAATTTCTCCTAGTAGGAGGACTTCTCTGACCCTAGGTGTTCTCAGACACAAATCAGGGGTGATAGTACCTACCTCAGAGAGCTGCTGTGAAGATCCATTGTAAAGCCCCTAATGGACTACCTACCTGAGAAAGTATAGACGCTCAATAAACATCCGGTACTTTCTTTCCCTCTTAGATTGTATATATCTTCCCTCTTTAAGGAAATGGTTTGTGTTTATTTCATCTTCCTTTCTCCAATTTGGTGCGTTGGTAGGTGCTTAAAAAAATGCTTGCGGAATTAATGAATGGTCTTATGCTGCTGTGGTGGAGTATATCTACTTGTTGATGTATATTTTCCTTTAATAAATCATTCTTTAAAACACTTTGGAAGGACTTGCAAGTTGTGGAGCTGTTGACATTGTAGTGGGTGGTTCAGCGGAGAGATGAGTCATATTTGAATTTGGGGATTTGAGGAAAGAGCCTGTTAAACTAAAGGAAATGGGGCAGCATCACAAATAAAACCAACCAGGCAAGATATACCACAGACATCTCTGACATAAGAGTACACCAAATTTTTAAGTTCATTACTGCATATAATTTTCCATTACTGAGAATAAATTTGACAAGTGTTAGTGAGATGGGATGTAGTCTCATTAAAGAAAAAAAAAAATAGGAAACACATTCACACCAAGTCACAGAAAATCTAGTTTAGATGAAATATTTTTCCCCTGCCAGTACACATTAAAATACCTAATTCACAGGCAAAAGTAAAATTTTCTGGTAATATGCCATTTGATGAAGACACTCAATTATTTAGTCAGGGTTCTCCAAAGAAACAGAACCAATCAGATGTATATAGACAGAGAAAGAGATTTAGTACAAGAAAATGGCTCACATGATTATGGAGCTTGACAAGTTCCAAGATCTTCAGTCACCAAGCTGGAGACCACAGGAGAGCTGATGGTGTATGTAGTCCCAGTCTGAATATTGGCAGGCCCAAGACCCAGGAAGAGCTGACGTTTCAGTTAGAGTCTGAAAGAAAGAAAAAAAAAAAAAACTGTTGCCTCAGCTCAAGGCTGTCAGGCATAAGGAGTTCTTTCTTGTGCAGGAGGGCCAAACTTTTGTTCTACCAAGGCCTTCAACTGACTGGATGAGGCCCACCGACATCGGGGGAGGGCAATCTGCTTCGCTCAGTCTACCAATTCAAATGTTAATCTCATCCAGAAACACTCCCAGAGATACACCTAGAATAATGTTTGGCCAAATGTCTGGGCACCCTGTGAACCAGTTAATTTGGCACATAAAATTAACTGTAACACCTGACAAGGCACAATATGTCATCACAGGAGAGATTTCTATCAGAGTTTAATATGTCAATAAATCATTCCTTCCGCAAACTGCTCTCTTTTTCCTCCTGCTCTGCTTCTTCTTTGTATAAGCGGTCAGAGAAAACACTTGGGGATGGTAACTAATGTTTTTGAGGCACCATTCTGTGCCACACATCTTACCGGGTACTCTTGCACACTGTCCCCACAAGTGGTGAGGCCAGGAGGACTCCTCCAAGTGGCAGCAGCCTTGGGGAAGCCACCACAGCCCAAACTCCACTACTCAGTCTTGTCTCTTTGAAAACTCAATCTTTCCAGTGTCCCAGACTTAGTCAAACTTGGGAATTATAACATACAAACTAGATTCGGAGACTTCTATACACACCAGGGGAAAAAAACATTAATTATGATGAGAGATACAACTGCCAAGGGGTCCTCTAGCCAAAGCATTCTTTCCTTGTAAAGCTATATCAGAAATCAAATTATAATCAAAATATTGCTTAGTGAAAATGAATTCAGAGTAAGTGGGGGTTGATTTAAACAAGATGTTCAAATGGCATCAAGCAAAGAATAATGCTATAATTTCAACAACTAGTATTAGACAGGAAAAAACTTGGGAACAAATTTTCTCTAGAATTCTCTGCCAAAGTGTACCTCATGAATTCTTTTTTTTATTCTTTCTTATGCCAGGCTGACCAACTCCCTTTCTGTTTAACACATTATTTCTTTTAAAAAATATTTACCAGGTTACAAGTCAAATTTTAATGATTTATAAACTATTTTGCCTCAGTAAGATGACTTCCATATTTCTCCTTTTAATTTCCTTAATTTTCAAAGAGAATCTCACCATTTGACTTTGTTTTCATTAATATCCATTTAATCTTTAGCGATTCTGTTCTGGCAATCTATTGCTGATTATCACAAAACATAATGGCTTAAAACAAGAACAATTTTATTAGTATCACTGCTATTCTCAGCACATTCTCAGTTTTCAGCTCAGGTTTTTGGTGTAACTGACATTAGGATGTTCTAATATTTTTAAATGGTGTTTTAGGGCTTTCCAGACAATTTTTGGAAGGAGTAACTTTTATATTTCCTACTGAACAGTCTTCATAAATGTGCTGCCCTCTAGGCATTATTTTACTCCTTACTGTTATACAATCATATCTCTCCTGTGTTCTGACCTCTTAGAAATCTGAAGAGTGACTGGCTAACTACTTTGTTAGACTACTCTATCTTAAGGTGTTAATGATGATTAAAAACAGGTGATATTGGGGCATCTGGCTGGCTCAGTTGGTAGAGCATGCTACTCTTGATCTCTAGGTTGTAAGCTCAAGCCCCACGCTGAGTGTAGAGATTACTTAAAAGTAAAATCTTTAGGGGCACCTGGGTGACTCAGTCAGTTAAGCGTCCGACTCTTGACCTCAACTCAGGTCTTAAATTCAAAGTCATGAGTTCAAGCCCCACATTGGGCTCCATGTTGGGCATGGAGCCTACTTTAAAAAAATCTTTAAAAATATATATAAATAAGTAAATAAATAAAAACAGGTGATATTAAGATCATTCTTCAATGCCTTAAGCTAAAGGAGTTGGTAAATCTGAAATACAAGCATCAGAGCAGTGTAGGTAGAAAAAATATTTGGTCTGGGCAGGGGAGATTTGAAGGTGAGGAATTACTTCATTTATAGGAAAACACATGTTGACCCATAAGACATAATTCCTTGGTAGGAACTGCCATTTGGTGACAGGCAGCCCAAGAAGGTAAATTTCACATTTAATAGAAAGAATTTTAAAATCACATTAATCTTTATAAAGGGTTTATAATCTCTGGCAAAATTCTCAATCTACAAGTAATGTTAAATAACGAATCACACAGCACTGAAGCATCTAGTCTTCAACCTCATACCTCATAATAGGAGCATTGATATTTCAAGGATCTTGTAAGAGAAGGATCTCATTAGATTCCTGACACTTCATGGTCACTTTCTAGTGCTGAGAACTCAGAAGACATTTTTTTTCTTGTGGTTTTCCACAGAAAACCATGATGTACAAGAATTTGTTTTCATCCTGTTGTGTTCATTTATTCAACAAATATTTGTTGAATGTTGCCATGTGCCAGGAACTGACACAGCAATGACCAGGTGTGACCCTGCCCTAAGGAAACCTGAAGTCTCAATAAAGTCTCTCAAACCTGGAATCATGTTAGAACTTTCCATATGATCCTTCCTTCCTTCCTTTTGCTTTCTCTCTCTCTCTCTCTTTTTTTCTCTTTCTCTCTCTTTCTTTTTTTCTTCCTTTCTTTCTTATTTAGCATCTAGCTAGCTGGCTAAGTAGCTATCATCATCTTTCTACCATAGTGTCCTGATTAAGAGAACAAATTCTAAAGGTAAAAGGCAAGGGTTCATAACCCAGTACCATGGGTAAAAAAAGTTTTAAAAGAATTATCGGTGAATGGATGGGTAGATAGATAGATAGATGATAGATGCCAAACGAAATCACAAGTGAAGTTCCTATATAAAGCAGAACTATGACAATAATCATTAAGTCCCAGAATAACTCTCCAAGAGCATTTTTGTCATAACACTACATTGTTTTTTCCTTAAGAAATTATTCTCACAATATTCTCAGACAATAATGCCTAAATATTTTGTAAATCATTACACTCAACCTTATTTTTCTTCTCCCTTGTGCACTGTTGGCCAATGAAACACAGTTTCATTTTCACTTTTCAAAATGATAGCATTAAAAAACAGAAGTGAAAGTATGAATCATAATATAATCAGGAGTTCATAGTGAGATATCCATTTATAACTCAGAAAACCACAGGGTATTTCCAAACTGATGTCATTCATAGAAAGAATGCCATGTGTTGTGGAAGAATAAGAAAAATTACCTAGGCCGACTGGGGGATTTAGAATGCATGTGGGATATTCCCAGCTAATTATTTTAATTTATTTTTAATTTTATTACAAATATTGATCTCTATTTCAAGTACTTAAATTGACACTCATCTTAGACATCACACTGGATTCTAAGTTATACTTTTTAATTTTGATATGATTCATTTACTTCAGAAATCATCAGTGTAAATGCTTTATGTAAGTCAAGGTTTTCTTTTATTTTCTTTTAAAGTCTGTATAAATATTAAGATTACCTGAAATTCTGTGTAATTATTCTACTTTTTGGAAAAAAATGGAATTAATCTCTGCTCAAATTATTAAAATTGATTTTATTTTATTCTTTTTGGAAGTGGAGAGAAATAACATCAATTTTTATTTTTACATTTCCAACTAAATAATCAAAATAGGATTTTTCCTTTCCACTATATTCAGTTTTTTAAGAATTTAAAGAAGATTATAGTATATGCTAAGTAAGTTTGTGATACGACAGAGAAGAAACATTATTCAGAAACTAATTTCCTCTGGGTTATCTACATTTGCTTCAACAAGTTCTTTGGATATATTAGTTCTGCCATATTTGTGGCTACATTTCATAGTTGGTTGCTTATTCTGATCCAGATCCTGATATCCAGTTGTGAGGACAGCCCAGTTATATCTTTTTTCAATCAGTGGATGTTCCTGGTTTCCCATTAGCCAATGTCCACAGCATGAGAGATTCCACAGAAGTCACACCATTCACTCACCCAAGGAGCACCACTAGTTTGCTCTTTGGTGTCTGAGGCTTACCCACGAGTCTGGTGGTTTACCCACAGTGTCTGGTCCTCATGTCTGCTAGGAGCTGCTTTGCTGTCCTGCATTTTTCGGTAGAACTGCAGGTCAATCTGTCAATAGAATGGGCTTACCCCATGTGATTAAGGAACACATTTAAAAATATATCTCAAAATTAAATTCCTCCTTATTCCATAAGCAAACAGAAAGTCCACATGGACTAAAGACTTAAAAGCTAAAAGCAACCCTTAAAAGTTCTAGAAGAAAATGTAGAAGTCTATCTTATAATATTGAAGAAAGATTTCTTAAAATATAAAAAGGTTCATCAGTTATAACACACATACAACTCTGATAGGGATATTGATAATGGGGGAAGCCATACATGCACTGGAGCAGGAGGAATATGGAAAATCGGGTATCTTCTGCTCAATTTTGTATGAAGCTAAACCTTTAAAAAATAAAGTCTATGAAAAAAAGGACTAAACCATCAAGTATAAACTATAAGGTGAATACATTTGATAGCATAAACATTTAAAAACTTTATACATTAGAAACCATAAACAAAGTTTAAAGACAAGCTACAAAGGAAATAGTTACAATGCATTTGAGAAATAATTTTAATCTAGAATAATGAAAAATATCCTCTAAGTAAGACAAAGACAAAAGTCCCAAAAAGAAGTTAATAGAAACCTTCCATTCACAGAAGAGAATCTCTATATGACAAATGAAGATATTAAAAAAAAAAAAAGTAACTTGCTAGTAATAGGAACATGCAAATTAAAACAAGATACCCTTTCATGTCCTCAGACTGGAAAAAATTCAAAAGTAAGTAGTGGTAAGGAAGTAGGGGAAACAGGACTTTCAAATTCTTAATGTTAATTCCTGATGATTAATGAACAGTGAAGTTTTACTATAGGGAGCATAGTTTAAATTTGAAAAGAGAAAGGTAAGAAATTGAGAGAGCAAATTGGTATAATTTTGAAAGCATTTTCATAATACCTAGCAAAGTTTAAAGGTA